TCTTCAAGGTATCTACAAATCTCTCAACCTGTCCGTTTGACCTAGGATGATATGGAGCGGTAGTAATGTGATTGACCTGATACGTTTTACAGAAATTCTGCTGACGTGAACCGACTTCTATATCGGACACTAAGGTGTCCACTACCCTGAATCTAGCAAACAGTTCATAAAAGAAATTTTATTGTGATTTCAGTAGTTGGATTTTTACATGTACTTGGGGCCACTTTGAAAAACTGTCGACTACAATGAGGTAGTAGTATCCTTCTATAGTGCCCGCGAAGTCAACATGGATTCTAGACCACGGTAGGTCCGTTTTTGGCTAGGGACTAACTTTAACAGGAGGTGCCTTTGCTGCCAAGGCACAGCCTTTACATGATTTGACAGCGTTTTCTATATATTTCTCCATGTTTTGCCAATAGACATAGCTACGCATCAAACTTTTCATTTTAGTACTCCTTGGATGGCCAGCGTGAAAATCCTTCAGAATACCCTTCTGGAGTGTTGACAGAATCACGACGCGTTCCCTGTATAGTAACACCTCGTCGCATATCGAGAAAATGTCCGTAGTTCGCTGGGCCTCTTCAAAAATTTTCACTTTTGTATGCTTGATAAACTCATCATAGAGAGCTTCTTGTCTAATTTGTTCAAGCGTCACTGGAAGTTCCCTTACTGTATTACAAAGGGTCGTTTTTAATTCTCCTTCAGATTGAAACGAAGCGAGCACTGTATCTTCCAGTTCTTTGTACTTGGGAATTAATCTTGATAACCCATCCGCATGGCCGAATTTTTTTGATGACACATACTCCATTTTGAAATTGTAATTCAGCAAGGTAATACTCCATCTCTGTAGTCTGTTTGCCGTGTGAGTAGTTAGACCTTTCTTTGAGACAAAAATAGTGGGTAATGGCTTGTGATCCGTCTGTAGAGTAAAATGTCGGCCATAAATATAGCGGTGGAACTTCGTGACTGCGAATATAATTCCAAGCGCCTCTTTCTTAATCTGCGAATATTTTTTTTTCCGCAGGAAGCAAAGCTCTCGACGCATGAGCTATTGGTTTTCTCTGTTCCATCAGTCATCTTATGAAGAATGCATGCCTACGCCATACGAACTAGTGTCGCTGGCAACAATGATTTCCAAGCCCAGGTCGTAATGTGTAAGAAATAAGTCTGACCTCAGTGTTTTCTTTATTTTTTCGAATGCCTCCTGGCATTCTGCTGTCCAAACCGAGAGGTTATCTTTAATAGTTCATTAAGCGGAGCACGCAAATCATGCATATTTGGAATGAATGTCTGGTAATAATTTGCTAGTTCAAGGAAGCTCTGCAACGAAACAATGTTATTTGGCGCCGGCATATCTTTAATCGCGGCAGCTCGTTCAGGATTTGGTTTTCTGCCATCCTTGTCAATTATGTGTCCTAGGTATTTGATTTTTTTCCATGAATAAATCACATTTGGTCTCTAAGTTTGAAACGGTAGTCTTGAATCTTGGTGAAAACTTTGTGGATATGATCCTTATGTTCGACTACGTTTTGACTTTTTATCAGGATGTCATCTAAATAAGCTACTGCGAATTCAAGACCGCTCAGCATAGTATCCATGACTTGCTGAAAAATTGCTGGCGTGATTTTGACCCCGAACGGTAAACGTTCGAATTTATATAATCCGCGATGCGTATTTATACACAATATCTTCGAACTCACCTCTTCAAACGGAATTTGTTATAAGCGTCGCTAAGGTCAATTTTCGAAAAAAATTCCCCCATTAAGCTTCGCAAAAATGTCTTCTGGGCAAGGAAGAGGGTAATGATAATCCTTCAGAACAGCATCTAATCCTGTCAAAAAAATCAGCGCAAACGCGTATGTCTTTCGACTTTTTTACATAAACCGCTGGTGCGGCCCATTCGCTGTACTCTACCTTAGATAGGACACCAGTTTTTTCTAATCTGTCAATTTCCTCGTTAATTTGTTCCAATGAGGCAAAAGGCACATTTCGCTTCTTTTTGAACACTGGCTGGATGTTGTCTTGTAGTTCAATTTTTGCCATCATCTTGTTACACCTGCCTAACCCACCAGAAAAAAATTCTGGATAGGCTTGCTTCAGTTCTTTTTTCAGTTTTTCAGCTTCGGCATTCCAATTTAATTTTTTGGCAGTAAGAATTTATGGGCAAAAATTTATTCAGTGCCAAATAGGTTGTTAATATTTTTCAGTACGAACAATTTTAAGAGTCTTCCCGATGAACGTTATATTTGTAATCAATTCTCCCTCGAATTTAATTTTTGCTAAATTTTATCACGGTTTGCTTACCCATTACCCAATCTTTTCAATGTTTGCAAGTTAAATCAGAACCCGAATCTAGTTGAAATTCTACACTTTTTTGTTTAACATTTTTACGTGCACGAATTTCTTGATATTAGTACCGTCTCGTTCGTCTGACCTTGTATTTTTTATGCAGCTATTGGTTTTATTTTTAGATCGGCAATGCGAACTTATGTCCGACTCGGTTACAAATGTAACATTTTTTATTCCGGAACACACAATCTTTGTACCAATGTAGGGCTCCACCTTTGTTTCAGTTTTAGGAGACTTTGTTTCTGTTTGTAGCGTACTTTTTTGACGTGAGCAATACCAGATTCTTCAATATTTTTAGAATCCTGCTTTAAACTGACGTACCTCTGACATTCTTCAGCGATCTTCTGTAGAGTTATATTCGGTTCATTCTTCAATTTGTTTAGGATTCTTCGCCTAATTTCTGCATCTTTTGTTGAAACTAGTCCTTGCATGAATATCAAGCATTTGAAGTTATTCACACTTCGCTCCGCCAGTCTAAAATCATCGTAGTGCTTGTTTACAATTGACGCAAAAGTGCTGTAGTCTTCCTATTCTTTCCTAGTTAGATTAAGACATTTCCATCTCTTAGTAATTCTACTGCTTCGGTGAATGTCAAATTTCCTCAGAAGAAGACACTTTTTTTTTTGAGTCACTCCAATTCACACAATCTGACGTATACAAGTTCTCATACCTCCTAAAGTATGACGCAATGGTTATGTTTTCTTCAGGATTGTATGAAAAATTCTCTATCGCACTCCAAATGGTGTTTTGTGAAAAAGAATTCGTTTTCAATGGGATTACTATGGTTTGTCAATTCTAATACTTGCTTTTGAAATTCAAGCTGTCTCTCTCGCTATTTTCCTTCTGGATTTGCAGTAATACATTTTCCATTTTCTCCTGTTGAGAGAGCAATTGTTTTTGCCACTTCCATTCTTTCTTGGAGTTGTAATTGCTGTGCATTCTGGTATTTTACAAGTTCTAATAAAATACTTTTGAAATCCTCCATGATAAGTGTGTCTTTTACGAAAAAATCCGATTTTCAGTGGTCCATGCAAAATACTCGTAAATCTTAGTCACCAAGTTGTTGTGGACACTGGCAACGGCAATTTTTTTTAAGTCCCCGTGAAGTGCAAATCCTCGTCACCAAGTTGTTGTGGCCTGTTTAGGGGCCAGAAAGAAAGACAGGGAAGACGAAGGTAGGTTGAAAAGGTATATTGAAGTTATATACAAAACAATAGTGTTTGTAATAAGTAGATTAGCACTGCGTCTACTACTCCACTCCACTTAACACTCTGCGCTCCCATCCGACTCTCGCAGTTTGTATTTATGAGAGGAGGAAGAGTTCATTCTACTGTAGGAGGGCTTACCACAACAATCACCTGCAAAAATATATGTACCCATTAATACTACATCACCAGCAAAAATATATATACCCATTCATGCTACATCACCTGCAAAAAGAAATGTACCCATTAATACGACCTCATACAGACTCTAGTCCTTGTATAAATATTGAAAAATTATATATTTATAATTTTTTTTACTTTTAGATGCAAAAAATACAAATACCATAATATGTATATAAGTAATTGTAATGTATAACCAATAACTGTATGTTTGGTTTTATGAGTGTTTTCTATATTACAGGGTAGAAAGCCTGAAGAAAGAAGACTTTTAGGTTCTTCTAAGTCATAAGCTCAAATGAAAACTGGGCCAGGAGGAATGCTTTAGGACATTTTGATTCCTTTGTTACATATGCAAACCTTAGTGGGGCTGTTCAATGAAGTCCTAGCACACTCTGCATCATTTTCTACTGTCAGTCTCTCCAAGAAGTGACTGGTCCTACACAAATCTTCACCAATTAAACAGATTATTTGTGTGTAATCTAACAGTTTAGTCTTACACTAATCCACTTTTGCATCCATGATGAAATGATAGCAATGGGAACAGATATCACTGGAAGCATTTAACATGAAAATTTGAAAAACTTGAAAGCTATTCAAAAATTGAGAATAAACACACCAGCTGCATTTCCTGACAACAGTTGCCCAGATGTCAGACTAGAGTAGAGATCTCCTGCTGGATGAGTATTTTACAAAAGACACAGATATAAAAATTAAATCATAATACTGAACTATTGAACACTCATATGGGGAGTCTATCATATACATACTAGGTGTGTGCAAAAGTTTCCAGTGTTTCACTTAATTAAATAAGAACTGGTTTTCAAAATGAAAGATTCTGTAAACTTTTGAACACATCTAATATGTACATGTGATATGACAGATTGGTAGAAAATCTTCTATTGGTTGGATAGTAGTGTTATATACCCACTCAAGGATGACTCCCAAGCTTAGTCCTTATCATGGAAAGTGAAAAGTGCTTTTCATTTATTGTATATTCTGTGCTGCAGGGATAACTGAACAATGATATTTCATAAACATCAGTTTATTTACTCTGAGAAATTTTATTTATGGCAATTTCATTACTTATCACTTCTTTCTTAATTATTACATTGAGAATAGTTTATAAAATCATGAGAAATTTTTAAAGATTAAGATCTATTTTTCTATGCTATTTTCTATATTTAAATAATTTGAATTTCCATAGGATCAAATTAATTAGTCATGGTGGATTTGTTTTTATATCTAATTAAAAATGATATTACTTACCTTTTACTGTTGCCAATCTATTGGGTAATAACTTTGCAATAATTTTCTGTTTTTCTGTTCCTTTTTTCTCATCTTTGGCCAAGATACCAAATTTCTTCAAAGAATTAATGAGGCGACAATGTGCACTTACATCTGGATGTTCTCGAATAAGGCAATAAATGAAGGTCTTTGAAGATAAAAAAAATAAATTCATAGAAAACATAGGATATAAAAATGAAGATATCTCCTTATATACATGGAAAAATAGTTACTTTTAAATGGTGTATAATAACTCATTCTGAATGGTTGTATTAGACTTAAAAGAAAGTATAACTTTTTAAGTGGACTATTTAGTGGGGAAAGAATATTTTGGTATTATATTACTTCTCTTTTCCTTTGCTAAACAATTTAATGTAGTTATAAATATTTATTTTAAAAATACAAGGATATTTGCTCATATAATGTAGAACATTTTCAGAAAAAGCAATAGAGGTTTTTTTTTTAGCTTTTTTCAGCAAAGATAGTATGACAGCCAGTATAAATTTCATATTTTATAATTTGTGCAATTTCAAATATATTACCTTTGTATTGAGAAGCAGTTCTCTGATGAGAAAGGCTCCAAGAAATCCAGAGCCACCAGTGACTAATACTCTGCCTTTATTCCAGCGATTGCCCACACGAAATGATCTCCAAAATGCTCTCAGACTCATGTCAATGCTTTAGTAACAAAACATTAAATTTTAGTTAAATATAATTTCAATTATTTTAATAACTTATAAAAGTTATTAAAAGTGAATACATCTTACTAAAGATTAATTATAAAAAATATGCTTATCATTGTTACTGAGTTTATAAATGCAAAAATTTATATTTTTTTAAAATTATTGTTACTTCTTCTCTCAATTATATTTTGAGTAAAAAGCATTTAAAGATTCTAATTCAGTTTTTTTATTCTACTGTTACTCTTGATTGCACAACTAACATTTAATAAACCTGTCAGTTTTAATTATTATTTTTTCTGTTGATTTATTATATTACTTGTTGTTATTATGGAACTGTTACTGCCAGTTTTTACACCACTTGTATCAGGAGATTTTCATTTGGAATCAACAAGACACACCAACATTCTTATCTAATGATGCTGCCATTTGGGTAGTTTCAGTTCTCCCTTGCATTTTCAAGGCAGGATGCCTTCTTTTTTTTTTTTTTTTTTTTTTTTTTTTTTAATTATTTACTTTGTGGCAGAGGTGGGGGGGACTCTCTTCAGGTCCATTCCAAGTGCACCAATAATGAAGGGTATAACTGTTACTTTGATATTCACATTATTCTTATTCTTGGTATCATCATATTCTTTTACTTTCTGTTCATTACCTGAGACCAACATAGTAAATATATGAATTCTGGTTGCACAAGTTCTGATATTAAGTAATATTTATAAGAATACTTTATTACTGTTGTTGCCACTGCTGTTGCTTATTGTATCTTCTTGCTATCACTGGGAATCAAATGACAGTAAATCTCCTTAAATTTTCTGCCTTCTCCTTAATAGTTCCAAAATTTGTATAATCACTATATCAATTTCTTCCACAGATTTCTAGCTGTTCTGATCATTGATAGTCTAAAACATTTTTCATGCTCCAATAATTATGGATATGACTATCATTACTCTCTTTTAAGTACATCCTTTATGTCACTGGAACAACTATAAACATTATTTTGTCAGGTCTTCCTTTCCCTGTTTATAATAATTTGATTTAGTCTTCTAGATTGGAAAGACTCATTAGTCTATATTGCAAAACCACAAAATATTATACTGGTTGGGGCAAAAGTAATCAACAAGGAACTCTTAAAGAAAATAGTAATAAAAAAAACACTTATATTCAGAATCAGAAAGAGATAACTGAAATTTCTTGGATGCATAATGAGGTAGCGGAGCTTGGAAAACTTAACTCTTACAGGGCATATCAAATGCATGAGAGACAAGGGAAGTCAGCAGGTCACTTACTTGATGTGATTGTTTGAATGGATGTTGGAATGGGTGCTGAAGAAGTTTTACAAAGGGAAAAATGTTGATAAGGGATAGGAAGTTGTGGAGAGCCATGATTGCCCACATCCTGAAGGGACACAACAAATAAAAGATTCCAAAGGAGTCTCTGTACTGTGTTCATATCATTTGGCTGGGTAATTATGATTTTTTTTTTTTTTTTTTTTTTTATTCATTTTTTATAAAATAAGAATTATCAATTTGACTACTTCAGTTTCACACTTTTACTATTTAAATTTTCTTTTTCATAAATCTTTGTTTTCCAAGCCAATTTATATAGAATTCACTCAAGAATTTCTAGATTTTTTTATTTTTCATTAAATTTTGGTGGAAAGATCATAAATATATTATTATTATTGTCAATAAAATCTAGTGTCATTACTTTCTTTGGAGAATATTTTCAGTTATATCTGCAAATGTAACCAAGAATATCTTGTGAGGAGAGTTTTTTTTATATCTTCAATTCTGTTCTAAGTTTAAATTAGATAAATTACATTTTATTATAATTTTTAAATACAAGTATTGCATATGTATAAATTTTAACTGTGGATGATATTTTTGTAGCGTCTGAATTATAAAGAACATTTCACTTGTATTGGTTCAAAGTCTGATGTAGTAAAAATGGTTCTTCCTGAATTCTCTTTCATTAATGCTAATTATTGAATGTTGGACAACTGCAGGACAGTGATCTAATCTTGCAGGTCCCACTATTGTGGCCTTGTGTCTGACTAGGTTAAAATATGTAAATATATACACAAATGCGAGCCTGTATTTTTTATATGAATAACATTACTAAATTTTTTTTAAAACATTTCATCCCAAGCAGGGCAATAAAGCCACTAAGATGCAAAAGTGTACCAAGTCTAAAAGAACATGAGAAAATGAACAACATTATTAAGAAGACGAACTGACTTTAAAAAAAACTGGTATTAATACATTTTTTAAAAAAAGTTAAAAGGAATTTTAAAAGAATGACCTACTTAACAAAGCCTGTGTCATGCAATTCTAGTTCCTCCAATAAATTTGGTTGCGGTTCCATTTTTATTTCTTTCTCCACTGAAGGACTGAGATGTAGTCGACCGTCAATAAGCTGTGCTTGTTGCTTGACATTTGGGAAGAGGAACATATCTTTTACAGACATCTCAACTTTAAATTCATCCATCACTTGGTTTAATAGTGCAGCAGCAAGAAGGGAATGCCTGAAAAGTTAAAGCCAACTTATGAAATCGAAATGTTCTATATTTCTTGGAATTCAGTTGACTATCATTTCCTTTATGTTTTATCAATATTGATTTGTAATAAGATACTAGAGCATTCCCAATTATAGACATATTGTTTTTAATTCATTATTCATGAAACTATAACTTTTAAAGAAATTGTTTCATATCCAATCAAAAATGGACTAGTATATTTTATTGAATTCTTTAAATTAATGTCTATTACATAATAATAATAATGATGACTTTTTTTAATCCAACATTATTTCTTATTGCTATAAATATTATATTTGGTGGGTACATATATTTGAGTAGACATTTCTGTTTTGCTTTTCTTGTTTTTATACAGTGAAAATAACACATACTGAGCTAGAGATTGAAAGTTTTATTAAAGTTATTACTAGCTTGAACATGGTTTTCCAGGATAAAGGGAAAACAGTTTTGATTGCTGTCAAGAGACACAAATTCTTCAATAAAACTGTTGATCAATAGGATGGTAGATGCTAATTTCACTGTCTAAAAAAAGAAAAAAACTCAAACATTTCAGATAGAAATAAGTTGTTGTAATATGATGAATTGATATAATAAAAAGATAAAATAATTTGTGCATTACAAAGTCAGATACTGTTTATACTGTTTGAAATAAGAAAGCCTTAATCATCACATCTGTTTAGACAATAAATCTAACTGCCTGAAATACAAAATATAGAACACTTTTATACTTTTTTCTGATTTCATTGACAAAATTTTACAGTTTTATAATATAGGCATAACTATAAAAATAATCAGAATTCAGAAATATTACACTGTAAAATTCATTTATTTATTCCTTTACTTATTTTCTTTTATTCAAGTTCTTAGATAATATGAACACATTATGCATGTGTGTGTACATGCATACATAATTGTGGATAAATCACACCAAGTATTTTATCATGAAATGAAATTTATCAGAATTATATTTACATTCTTCATTTTGTTAAACTTTAAAAACAACTTTTATTCTCTCTGATATTTTTGTTTATCTGTCAATCTCTCCATTATGGTTTTCTGGGTTACCCCACTTGGCTTTGCCAAAAACACTCATTAGGATGTGCTCTTTGTCTATAAAAAGGCAAGCATTTTCTCTCTTTTACTTGTCTTTTCCTCTTGCTTCCAAATGTAGTTGAACATTGTTAAAGAATGCTGCTGCCATGGTGCATTCACTTCCTTGGTTAACTGAATTCTCACACATACATATACACAGATATGTGTATAACACAAAAACAAGCACATTCTTATAGCTAATTTCAGTGTATTTTCCTTTCATTTCAATTGTGTACATATGCAATCACTTTTGCTAATACATGCATTTCATTGCCATTTGCTTTAAATTCACTGTTTTGGGTTTCTTATTTTTACCTGGACACATAAGAGACCAACAATATTGATTGTGGGACAAATATTCCAGAAGCTCATAAATGTATACCATAAAATGTCCACACACTTATATCTATCGTGTAAAATCCCACAACAAAGTGGTGACTTATTTTTACTCATAGAACATAGAATCCTACAACAGTTTTAGCATAAGATTAATTCCCTATGTCTACTTGTGATCATATTTGTAATTACAAAGCAGTTTTGCTAAGATTTTACTTTCTAATAAATTCAAAGAAATTATTATTTCTGCAATCTTTATACATACCCTCCCAAATCAAAAAAACTTTCTTCAATATCAATATTTCTTAACTGAAGAACATTCTTCCAAATCTGAGCCAACTTCTTTTCGGTATCTGTGTTTGGAAGACCTTCACTGCTAAAAGAAATTTCTACTTGACTGTCATATTCTGGAAGTGCCTTTTTATCAAGTTTTCCAGAAGCTGGAACCACAGGAATACTGCAAAAAATAAGAAACAATATAATTTGATAATTTTTTATAAAATGAATGCATTGGCATTGTTTTTATTTTCTTCTTTGATAGTGTCAATTATGAAATAAACACATTTGAGTTTATGAGGGGGTGCTGAAAAAATCTCAACCTTGTCCACTTCCTGATCAAATAACCAAACATCAAAATATTTTCAGACTTCTTAGTCAGGACAAGAACATATGAGTATCTCCTCATACAACATTTATGCTAAAGAAAATATAAGGAAAATAGCATTATTCATATCTGACCTTTCTTGTTATCTAATTCATGATTTGGATATAACTTTTACTTTCAGTATCTTTAAATTATCAAATATCATTTTTAGTTTTACATCATCTGTTAAATTACATAAACTTCAACTGAATAAATTAAAAATCAATTAAATCTACAAGATGCTTTACAATTAAATGTTGCAATGAAAATTAAATTTAACTTTAATATTAAGCAGCTACTAATGACCTCAATATAAAATAAATCAATGACAAATATTTTTTCTTTTCTATTAAATATATGGTAATAGTAGTGTCAGTTATTACCATTTAAATTTATATAAATAAATCTAGTGATAAGCAAAATGGCAATGATTGGCTATTGAATGGAATTTATTGAAGGATCAGACAAGATTGTATTTGTAATTGGTAAAAAAAAATTATCTTCCTGAGCTATTTACCTTGATTGTTAAAAATGGCACTTGTATATAGACATATACCTATATAACAGTCACTACTTGAATTTTTTCAAGTAGTGATTGTGTGTTATTTAGGAATAAAGTGTTGCTGCCAACATTTGAGTTTGAACATAGATCGCCAGTGAACAAACACAGGTAATCATATTATTGAATTAAGAAGACCACATGACCATAGAGGAAACACAAATAAGAGTGGTAGCATGTGTCTAATTGATCATCATTTCTATTCTATCCTCTATTACTATACGGACCATTATTCTCTACTCTATTCACTATACTATTTCTCTACTCAGATCACTATATGGGTTACTTGTTGAGCGAGTATTATTGAGCAAGTACTATTAGTGTGAGTGTTATTCGAAGGCATCTGACACCAGTGTTGTTCAACAGCATACTATAGTTTTATCTGTGATTACAAAGTCTCTACTACAATGAGCATTATGAAAGTGACAACGAGGATTTGTTGGCATCACAAAAGTTGGCAACAAGTGTTCGTTGACATCACAAAAGTGGCGACAAACATGAGGATAACATTAATATTCAGCAGAGTACAGCAAAATGGAAAAACTAAAAGCTATCATGGTTTGAATGTTGGCACTACAGAAGCAACAACAAGAACAACAGTTACAGCAACAAAATTACAATAAAAACAACATTTGTGGTTGTGAAGGGTTGTTGAGTTTCCTTGGCAAGTGTCAGTTGGCCTTGAAGGTTATTCCTTGGTCCAGTGACCTTTCTCGGCCTTGTATCATGAATTAGTGGAGGGGGTCATGAAGGATCCTCTGTATGACCAGCTAGGCTTGTCGGAATCAGAGTTGCACTCTTTTTGGTCTTGGGCACCAGCGGCAAATTATCTCATCAACCCTGAGTTTTTACTCAACCCTGAGTTTTTACGTAACCTTCAGATGGGGTGAGGCAGATTTGCCAGATTGTCATTGGTGTGACCTTGGTTTAGAGGAAACGGCTTCACACGCCTTCTACCATTGTCCTCAGGTGCACCCTTTCGTGGATTATGCTGGTGAGTTGACGGCTTGTATCCCTTTCAAATCGACTTGTGTCTATCGATCTCACATACACGTATGATAATGTGTCGCCCCCATTCTCCAGGGTAAAACGGATGGTGTTTTTTGCATTGGTAGCCATGGCAAGAATGGTGGTGTGGACATCACGAAAGGAGGGAATCTTGCGAGATGAATGTTATTTGTATCAGGATCTGATTGTTTTTTTTAAGCATCAGCTTAAGGTGAAAATCAGATCTGATCGAAAACATTTGATTTTGACAGATTTCAGTGAAAGGTGGGTGACTGAAGCAAGTCTGGTTCATGTGGACGGAGCTAACCTTGATTTTCTTTAAGTCCTTTTAAGGCAGTTTCCTGTGGACCCCCACCAGTTAAGTGTTGTTCCCGGGTCTGTTCCCAGACTTTTTCTTCTGTTATGATCCATGTCGAGATTCCCAACCTCCCTAGTTTGTTTTTGTTCCCCATTTCTCATCTTGACAGGGTCAGCCTTTGATTTTCCCATTCCATCATTTATTTTTCCTCCCCATTCCATTAGCGAGTGTGCTTCTTGATTCTGTCTATTGACAGAATACAGCGGCTACTCTTATTATTTTGTTGGGTGGACAGCTCCTACTAACATTGTTTTGTTTTAGTTTTATCTTTGGTTTATATTTTGAGTTTCTTTTCTGTATCATGAAATTTTTATATATTTTTGCATATTTTGAAATTTTTATGTCATGGGGTGTTTTGTAGGTCCCTTGTGAATATGTGGTATTGTGGTACATGTAGGAGTGGGAGGTGATGGACAAGTTCTTGTGGTGATTGAGTATATTCTATTAGATGAATGGGTCATGACTGTGGTTAACGAGGAATAGGATAGCTAGTGAAAGACCTGCCCTTCCCCACTTCCTCTTCAACCTTGTGCCACAATTTTGTATTTTTTATACAAAATAAATATATTCTGTTCTATCCTGTATTACTACTCGGATCATCATTTCTATTCTATCCTCTATTACTATACAAACCACTATTATCTACTCTATTCACTATACTATTTTTTCTATTCAGATCACTATACGGGTTACTTGTCAAGCAAGTATTATCGAACAAGTACTATTAGTGTAAGTGTTATTTGAAGGTGTCTGACACTAGTATTGTTCAACGGCGTACTATAGTTGTATCTGCAATTACAAAGTCTCTACTACAATGAGCATTACGAAAGTGACAACGAGGATTCGTTGGCATCACAAAAGTTGGCAACAAGTGTTCATTGACATCACAAAACTGTGTCAGTCAGATGAATAAGTTTTGCATTTCATTTATACAAATAAAAATTAGAAATTATTCACTTGACTGACAGTGAAACTGGATAGTTTTTTTTATTGACTTTTATAATGAAATGAAACTATGAAATATAATAAAGGAGTTTTGTTTTTTTTTGTTATAATTACCTTTTTAAGAAAAGAAAATAAGAAGGAATCATGTAGAAAGGTAACTTTTTTTTGAGTTGTGATCTAATATCCTTTCTTGTCACTTCTCCATTTGGTACAATATAAGCAACCAAAAATTTGTTCTCGCCTTCATCTCCATTCACAAGGACAACACAATTGTTTACTTCAGGCAAAGAAGTCAAACAAACTTCAACAGCCTAACGTATAGAAAAAGAAAATCATTATTTTCTTTGTGAATACTAAATGATAATATTTGTCAATTACTATAATTCTTTACTTTAAGATTTTTCATTATTTTTTCTTGTTATTTTTAGTAGTAAAAGGAATTCAAGTAGAATTCTTTCTTTCAAATGAAGTGGATGATGTTAATTAAAAATCATTGAATTACAAAATTATTTAACTGACAACATTAAGAAAATTTTAAAAACACTTTTTTTACTTGTGGCAAGTATTAAATATTGCAAAATATATATCAAATACCTGTACTTCAATAGAGTAGCCTCTAATCTTGACCATAGAATCACAGCGCCCACATATTTCTAAATGTCCATCTGATAACATGTAACCCCAATCTCCAGTGCGATAGAGACAGTCTCCATATTCAGCTGACAGCTTGGAAGGCTTTTTTATGAATCTTTGAGCATTCAGTTCAGGCATTTTTAGATAACCATGGGCAAGAGTAGGACCACCAACAAAAATCTTTTAAAAAATATGAAAGCTTTATGAAAATTTTTAACAAAATGATTTATTAAACAATAAAAGAAGAAACATTTACACTCAATCATTTCTTTTATATACTTCTGTGATCTAGATATAAACTATAAACAGTTATTAGCAAGTAGTCTGGTTAGGTCTAAACCCTGAATCAGATTAATAGATTTTATATTCTTCACTAAAAGAAAGAATTTTATGTTCTTCCTCAAAGAAAGAATTGTGTGAATCATTGAGTTTTTAAAGGGTTCAGCTCCACATATTTCTAATCAGGTTAATATTGGCTCAAATAAAACAAAGTACTCACTTGATAAATGCAAAGAAGTAGGATTTAATTTTACACCAGAATACAAGAATTTCATGTATCATTTATACACTGAATGATCCAAAAGTTGGGCCCTTCTGTTATTAAAGATACCACAACTACTAGATTAGAGTTGAGAAAAATAATACATTCTATTGTTAAACTTTGGTATTCATTCTGACTGTAACTGTCATTAAAGTGATAATATACATATTATCAGATATTTAATTTATTTATGTAATATCAAACTCACTTCTATGTATATTAATTTGTCTGTTATTAATCCCTTCATTATTCACTGCTGACCTGCAACCTTAACTCTGAAGAGAGTCTGGAAAGAAAGGGAGGATATAAAAGGACCTGTCAGCAGTCCTCTCAAACTTCTTTCTTTTCCCTAATGCTCATCACAGAAAGCAACATAGTAATTATCCACTCTCTACTATGTCTGAAGTTCTTCCTCTCTTTATTGTTGATTTGAGTTTCTTCAAAATTGTTGTTACCATTTGAGCAGTATTTGTTTGTGTATATCCTTTTGAAATGTACTTTATCCATTTCCCTTTTTAAACTTATATTTATTATTTGGTTCTAGTTTTCATGGTTTCTACATTGATTGGTCAATAAAGAATAAAACATCAGTATGTGGACCTTTTTCATTGAGACCAGCATGTAGTTACACTGCCTAGTCTGGAAAAGACAAAATTTACACCTAACCAGATACATTCTAAGTACAGTGTTAATGAAGTATTGTGTATCACAATGTCTCAGTTCTAGAAATTGTGAGAAAACCCTTTGCTTTCACAGATGTGTGAACAGAAACATAACCATACAATGGTGCAGTTTTTTCCAGTCATTTATTATCAATAGTCATTTTAACCAAGAGAGGATTAAAGCAATTAAAAGTTTGTCAGATTTACCTCCCCTGAAACTCCAACTGGTTGCACTTCTCTAGCTTCATTCATTATAACAATTTGAACTTGGGGAAGATGGCATCCAACTGGGCAAAATTTCCTTCCATGAAGATCATGCTACAATAAAACATTTGAAAAAATAAAATAATTTTTTTTTGTTTTTTTTTTATTTTGTATAGTTAATAATAACAAATTAATTTCCAATGGATAATTTAGGCCAACTAAGTCAATAACAATTTTGGTATTTTCAACAAAATTAAATACATAATGATTGTTCCAAAAGTAATGCCTCCTTGCTCTTTGACATCAGAAACGGATGTCAGTTGTATGAACTAGTGAGCAACAGTTTACTGAAAGCAAATGATGAATAGCACATCCAATAAGTAATACATTTCATCAGTGGTGACAACGATGCGTATAACAAGCCACATTTTGGACAGCTCTGTACACCTAGGAAATGAAGAGTGCCTTGAAAAGGCATAACAAATATTAAAGTGTTTTGTAGCTGAAAAAGTGTTCTATGCCACTATTGTGATCTCTGTATTGCTGTTGTGGTTTCTGTAGAATTAAATATAAGGTATTATTTTCCAAGTGTCCATTGTAAATAACTTAATCTTGATTTTTAATTTTCTAAAATTATAAAATTTTATAACTGTGCATTCAAATCTGTTTTATGATTTTCAAATCTTTCGATTGTCACTTAATTCCATTTTTATGCTTGTGCATTGATATCTGAATGTGGGTCCATGAATATGCTTGATTATTGTATCATCCCTGTCATAACTACAAAAATGTAACTTTTTTATAAATCAATCTGAAATGAAATCAAAAGCCTATGATTCTCCATCTTCTTTATGGACCATATCCCTTTAAAATGTGAGCAATCTTGTCTTTCCACAACCTCCTATCTTTTGTAGCTGTAAGTAGTGTTTGTCTCTTTACTATCCTGCCCAATTCCTGTTCTGCCATCCATTTACACAAAGTCATTCAATAAGTTGCTTGCTGTTTCCTACTGCCTCTCTTGCTTTCAATATATCCTGTGAGTGTTGATTCTCCATAGCTCAGAAATACAGTATTTGTAAAAGACTCTGTATTGGTTTTATGTATTCCCTTGAAAAATATGATAAAAGTTTGCATCTTTGTTTTATTCTAAAAATGAGTAATTCTTAAATATGTTGTCAATTTATATTAAAGTTGTCTAATTATACAGGCATTGTTCTAAGTATGTGTGCAACAGACTTTACTACAAGGGATCAATACTATTACCCATGATATTATATACAATATTGTAGAAGGCATTTACAGATAAAAATAATAATTGAGAAGAAGAAGAAGAAGAAAACAAGAGTTAATTTAGAACCCAGCATTTCTATTCTTGTGGTGAGTGACAGACTATAAACTGCATTCTTTTTATCAGAAACAAGAAACACAAAATATCAGAAATTTAAATAACAATAGGATTAGCAGTCAAAAAATTGATCTTTACCAAGATAAAAAGTGAAACAAAAAATACAAAATAGTCTGAGTGTCTTGAGATAATGCAATGAAAATAAGTATGTTTCATGCTTTCATCTGTGTTACATTATTTTGCACAATATAAACAATAAATTTTGCACAATATAAACAATAAATTTCCAAACATTTCAAACACAGATATTCTTGATTCTATAAAATACACAGAAATAATTTTTATGTAATTTTCTCCATTCTGAGGCATCATCAAAAGGGCTTGTGCAATTTTTAAACAGCTTCCCACATTAAACCTCAACTTTGTGTCACATTCTGCAATGACAAGGTCATGCAGATAGTCATGCTTGTTGATTACTTTAACCAGTGGTGGTGGGAGTTCCAGAGGGGACTTCAGCTTCTTCCAAACTTAGTTACTATAAAAAGTCAGTCAATTCAAAAGTCTTTCATACTCTCCAAGCTCATTTCTTTCATGCAATTTTTGTCAAAACCTTTTTCTATCACAACTAATCTTTACTTTGAGCTGATACTTAAAGTAACAGATCAAATCATGAAAGAGATTCAATTTCACTCCTTCATGAGAAACATAATCCATTCTTCAATCCAGTCCACAGAGATGACACATTGTAACACATAGTACCAAAATATAGTGACTAATCAAGAATCAAACTACCAACTCATCTAAGTATCCCTGGCTGAATGGACTTTACTGTAGTAGAAGAAAATATGCTCTACTATTTTAAATTTTCCATCTGCATCCTGAAAAGCATACTATTGAGAGTTAGAGCATTCTGAACCAGTCACCAGTGTTAAAAACTAAATTATCAGGATACCCAGTATCCAAGACTATTTGAATGTAATGACTCCTCCAAAAAATCAAGTGGATCCAAAGTGAGCTTCTCAAAAATAGCCCTGTACAGTGTCTGTTAAAAGTTACTGAATTGAGGAATCTTAGCCAAAGCCTGATGACATTCACCTATGAATTGTTTCTCATTTGATGGTCTTCAACAGTAACTGACCTGGAGTTGAGAGAAAACCAACCAGAGCTTAATGAAGGCTATACAAGTGCCCTGCTCCTAAATCAACATCTTTGTTAACATTCAGTATATAAAAGTTAAATGCAAGGCTACTGTATGGCTGCTAAATACAGACTTTTCTTAAAACTGTTGGTCTTCCCCACTTCCAGAGCAAGGGCTGATGAGATCCAATATTTGATCTTCTGGAAGACAAAATATAGTCAATCAAGAGAAAGATGTAGGTACATTAATCTTCTGCTCTACCTTTTAAAGACATTTTCTTTCAAAGCTAATCTTAACTGACTGACACTCCAGTTTTTGCTGCACCTCCAGTTAATTTTTATCCAATTGAAGATCAGGTCCAAATCAATGTGAAAAACACCCATCTGCCCTACAAAAACAAGTCCCTCTGAGATATCTAAGTGCAAATCAGATTTCTTGAGATTAGCTTTGGCTCCTTCAATCTGTTCTTAACATTTAATCACCTTCTACTCCTTCTCTGTTATCACAGTAAGACAAAAAAATATGGTTACTTTATGAGTGGACACCTTAGCTCAGGCCACATCAGGAAAGTCTATACCAGCCAAGACTGTCATAATAATAATATCTTCCTTCAGGAAGTATTCTAGTGTCAAGGCATAAAAAGGTGTAGCAATTAGGTAACCTTAGTTCCAACCACTTTCCATTCACTTGCACCACAACTGTACCAGTTGAGTAGACTAATCCATGTACGGAAGTCTGGCTTAAATACAACAGCTAAGAATCAATGATACACCCTATCAAACACATTGATCAGTACAGGTTCCATTTCTAGGATTGCGTGAACCTAACTCAAATTTTTATTCCTCTCCCATCAAAAGTGTGTTCGGTCTACTAACATCTTCAACAAAATCTTTGCCAAATACTTTAACACTTTAATAGTGTAATTGTGTAATCTGTTCTTGGCATGATTGTTCTTCAACAATGTGATAAAATCCAACAGTTTATATGTCAAACAATCCAACCTAAACAAAATATGACTGTCAACCTGCTTCAGCACTAACTAAATTCTTTCACATCACAACTGGATCCTCATAAGTAACTGATTCATCTGATTTTGTTGTCAAATTTTATTTACTGCTTTAATGTGATTTCTGTATTCTTCTTTCCGAAATTGGAATTCTAATCTTTCTGTAAACTTTGAAAAGTAAGTATGACCATTATACATTTTTGTTGTTTACATTAAATTTTGAACTTTAACCTTTTTAACTTTTGAACCTTTTGTTTTCATGAAGGTTTTCAGAACATTTCTAAATGTCCAAAGAATTATAACTACAGTTGTAAAATTCAATAATTTATGAATCACTTAAGTAGTAGGTAGTAGTATAATTTTCTATATTTTCACTCTTGTAAAAGAGAGGTTCAGTGGTTCATTTGTATCTACTATTCATATTCTTATTCATAATTGTGGTGATGCTATTATCATTATTATTAGTAGTAGTAGTAGTGGTGGTAGTAGTTTATCCATGCTGACTTAGCGTATATGTAATTGAGATTTTGTCAAAGCCTCACTATTATTATACTTTACATAATAATTGAGTCTTTAAATATATTTTTCCAATTATTATTGTTGTACTCTGCTCTTCCATGGAGTCAGTTTTTATACATCTTGGAACATAATAAAGACACTGTCATGTGGTGTATTATATGCAAAGAGATTCTTATTCTTGGTTTCCTCTTCCTATTATCATTATAATTTTAAATCTGGTTTTATAGGGAAAATTTGAATCCCACCCACCCAAAGAATTCTTGAAAAATATATGTTGAGATTTTTGTCATGCAAAATATATTTTGCTGAAGAGAAAAATATTTAAAAAGGTATTCTTACATTTTTTTTATTATAATATTCTGTCAAATTCAAGCATGCAACATCATGGCATTCAGATATACTGTACAAATTGATGAATTTGACATGAGGCAAACTCTGGATGCATCTCTCCAATAAGGTAGTTGTTACAACCTCTCCACAAAACCAAATTGACCTGAATAATGACATTTAAATAAAAAAGGAGTAAATCCTTAGAAAAAAGAATAAATCTTTACACTTTGTAACTTTGTAGTTTGATGCTTTGTAAATACACTTTGTTTAAACTCTGTAGAGTCACTAAAGTCAAGTATATAATAATTATGTTTTATGCAAAATGTTGGCTAAAAATAATTTAAAGTCAAGGATTATTTTTTTTCTTTTTCATATTCAGTAAAGTTTTCAATAATAAATCATTTGTTTTTCTTCTCAAAGCAAACAATTAGTTTTTTATACTTAAACTTCTAGCTTCTATTTTATACATCTTAAACATTATAGTGAAAAATCTAAAATTAATTTCAATCTCTGATTATGTTTCATTAACTTTTTTATTTCTCATTTAATTTCTATAATAAAATCCAAGATAGTTTAATAGGAAAAGGTTTTCAGCACCATCTTGTAACAACATATTTTCATGTTCTGATTGTTTTTAGCATTTGTTGTTCACTGGGATCTATCGAACATTTCTTAAGTGAAACAACCGTTATAAATTTTAAACAGAATCACAAATTTTTTGATAACCTTGTAAGCACCATTTTTAATAAATATATAAATATTGTTTTTTTTTGTTTTTGGGGATTTCAAAATTTCTTTTTGTTTAATTTCAAATTTACAATTGACCAGTTAACTATTTTGTAAACAATTAGGATTTGATCCAAATGAAACCTTAAGTAAAAATTTCTGTTAAAATGCCATACAATTTTTGTAAACAATCAGATCATTTCAGAATTTACTCAAGAATTTATTATTTTCAAGGTAAGAATTTATTAACTTTAAAATATGCTTACTTCATTATCAATTCTAATGAATTTAATGTTAACATCTTGTCAAGCTAGAACATTGTGTGTTTCATTTTTTCAATTCAACAAGAATGGAAATTCCTGAAAATTTCCATTTAATAACTTCTACAAAAAGGTTTACATTCGATCTTTGTTTTCTTTTATGAATTGACAAAGTTGTTGAGGATCATATATGATATTGTCAGGTATTATGAACATGGAAAAAAAAAAAAAAAAAAAATTAATAAAATTATAAAATAATGTATTACTTGTGGATATCAACATCAAAGAAAAAAAAAAAATGTCCAGCATATAAAAAAAAAAATGAAAAGTGTTTCAAAAATGAATCATTTTAAATATATGTGTAAATCCAAAAAAAAAAAGAGAGTCCAACAAAATGAAGAATGAAATAATGTATGGAACAATCTTTTTCAATTGAAAAAACTAAAAAATGAAAAAAAAACTTATTAAAAAATCAAAATCAATAATGTTTTATTGGACATGCAACTAGATACAGGAAGTGAAATGATGTTGATACCCAAGAAATTTCTGGAAGAAATTAGGAAAACCAAAAAAAAGAAAAACCTTTTATGTTTCTTAAAAAGTGAATCAGTTTGATCAAATCCATGATAAAAAAAATAATATTAGGCTATTTTGAAAGGATTTGATCTAAATGAAATTGGAACTAAAAATTTACAACTGGGAAAGTTGTCACTTTGAATTTGTTCATATTACCAATTATCAAAAAAGATGGTAAACTGTGAAAAGAATCAAAATGGTCTAAAAATAAAAATTAGGAAATGATGTATTGAAAAACCTTGTGCATAAATTTCCATGAACAAAAAAAGTTATTAGTAAACAAAGTCAAGGCAGAAGAAACTGGAATGTTAAAAAAATATGAAGCAAAATTAAGAACTAAAGGAAAATGTCTGTCTCCCCACCATATTTTTTGAAGCATGAAAAGTGCCAGTCCATCTACTACCAATAGTTGTGGAAAAAAAAAAAAAAAAATTACTGGAACAAGATCTACTTGAATGAGTTCTGCCAGGAGGGAAACAAATGGGCCTCCCATTAGTAATTTTAAGAAAGAAATATGGGTATCTGCATATTTGTGGTGACTACAAAATAGGTATAAACTACAAAATATGTGCAGACTCATACCTTATCCCAAATGTAGAATGGGCTTTGAACCCCCTTGCAGGTATGAAAACATTCTCTAAAATTGATCTAAAAATTGTATACCATCAAATACCTGTTGACAAAGACTTTAAAGAAGTCACAACAATAAACACACCAATAGGCTTATTAAGATGGAAAAGAATGCCATATGGAATTAAAACCGCAAGTGTGATTTTTCAAAGGGCTATAGAGCAAGTTATTGGTAGCGATATAAAAAATACAATATGCTACCAGGATGACATTTTGTTGGTGCTATTAATGATGAAAGAATTAAAATGGAAAACCAGTATGGTTTTGAATAAGTTAAAAAATGCTGGATTAACAATTAATGAAAAAAATGTGTGCATAACACTAAAAAATATCATTTTTGGGATATTCCATATCTAACAAAGGCATATCACCAGACCAATCATTAATTGACAAAATATTAAAAGTTGAAGTACCTAAGAACAAAAAAGAATTGGAATCTTTCTTAGGACTTGTAAATTTCTACAGACAATATGTAGAGCGATACTCCAAATTGACAGAACCTTTTGCTGCTTTAAGAAAAAAATGTGGAATTTATTTGGACAAAAGAACAAGTGGCATTTGAAAATTTAAAAGCTGTTCTGGCAAAGAAGCCAGTAGTAAAATATTCAACCCTTGAAAGGAAATACTAATAACAAGTGACATGAGTGACCACTCAATCTTAGGAATATTAACTCAGGATGGTCATCCTATTATGTATCTTGTCAAAAATTGTCAAAAGCTGAATTAAAATACTCAAATATTGAGAAAGAAGCATTGGCCACAATATGGTTGACAAATAGAACTTGTCAGGTTCTGATTGGAAAGAAATTCCTACTAAGGTCCAATCATAGACATTTAGAATTCATATTTAATTCTTGGAAAAGAACTTCCTAAGATACCTTCTAGAATTTTAAGATGGCTCAGAATGTTAATGGCATTTGACTTTGATACTGAGTACGTGAAAAGCAATGCCATTTTGCATGTAGACACTTTGTCAAGATTAAGGTTCATTACTTCTGAAAGTGAAAAAGAGAAGGAAAAATTTGAAGATGCTTTCTTACACTGGGTTGAAACTGGCATTTTGTTGATAGAAAAATTAGCTGAGGATACAAAGTGAGATCCCATATTGAACAGTATATTGTTCAGGATAAAAAATAATAAATGGAATAATTGCTCAAAAAAGTTTGAAGGAATAATTTAACTCACAGACATGAAAGGGTTTTAAAGAGGTTAAACACAAATTAACCAAAATACAAAAAAGAGTGTAATTTGTAATGGAGATGTAAATTTCAGACAGCAATGCAAAGGAGCAAAATTATAAAAAGTATACATGATCAATGTTCATTGCAGAATAAATGTCTTTTGCAAAGGAGATTAAGGCTAGAGGCATGGTGGCCAGGCTATTCTACAGATGTAGAAGAATATATAAAAAAAGGTGTAAAATGTGCAATGAAAGAAATGAAATTCAGACAGACAAAAAATCATACAATGGCCTAAAGAGTCCCAACCTTGGGACAAAATGCATGATTCATGCCCATGTTAATGGAAACCATTATTACTAATACTGGTAGATTCCACATTCAGGCTGGATTAGAAGTAATATGGTGTTTCAAACAAAAGAAGTTCAACCACAGAAACAAGCATTAATGATCATATTTTCAAGAAATGGAATTATAGAAAAAAATGCTACTATCTGACAATGCCCCAGAGTTCTGTGACAAGGAACTATGCTAATGGTTGAACAAAATTGGATGCAAACCATATAAAAAACCCAATGAATACCATCTGTAATCAAATGGATTAGCAGAAAGGATGGTACTAAACTATAAAAAAATAGATTGAAAATTATGTGCAGACAAGTGATTGCAAAGAAAAGATAGAAATATTTCTTCCTAGATTGTTGTCAAAGAAAGATAAACTAGATTAATATAAACCCTGAAGATGAACAAGACCAATCATTTGAGGAACAAAAACAAAAAAGGCCCCATTCCCATGTCTTATGCCACTAATTAAAAGAGATAGAGGGAAAAAAAGAAGGAGAATCTAATAAAAAAGGATAAAATTTCATACAGGAAATGAGGACACTTGTTTACATATGAAGACAAAAGAAAAAAATAGAAATGGGACTTATCCATGAGGTATTACAGACATACTAGATTCCAAGTAGATAACAATACAAGAAATGTACCAATTATAACTGATAACTGGATGGTTTTATGAGACAAATTCTTTGGCCTGGATGGTTTGAAAGTGTTAAGGCAAGAAACAAACATGAATACTACTTTGAGTAAAACATTTTATTTAACTTTCTATTTCATAACAAAAAATTCTGCACTTTGGAGATCAATATCTTTAAGAATTTTTTCTAAATAAAAATTATAAATTTAAGAATAAAAATGAGAAAATTAAAGATTACCTTTTCTACTTTCCAGATAATTTCTCAACTTTCAATATCTAAAATTAGTTTAACAACATATCAACAAATAGAAGTTTTTAACTGAACCTCAAATTTCTGCTGAGATCTGTTGTTGTGAATGTGTTATTGCAACTGACTTCATTATCTACACTGTTTCATATAGCACATTAGAGAAAAAATAAATGATAACAAATTCAACCCTTTCAAAAATTATATGATGTTTTATGATTTGAGAAATCTATGAATATATATATATATAAAGCAAAAAGTTAGATTGAGAAATATAACAATGCAATGTGCAACAAAATTCACAATCTTTCATATGAAAAACATTTTACATACTGTTATCTAAAAAAATATAAATAAAAAGAATTATTCTCACCTTTCAATAAAGGTCTTAGCATTTCCCATACAAAAAAAATATTACAAGCTTCTCTTTCATCAGCCGCATAAGGGTAGTTTTCATGTCGCCATTTGTATGATAAAATTGCACCTTTGTGAGGACACATTATACCTAAAAAGAAACAATGAAATATTTGATTAAGTAGAATTTACTGTCAGCTATCTGATATAACCAGTCTAAAATTTTAATGAATATTTAAGAATAAAATTATTTAAACCATACTACAGAAAACTAATAAGTAATTACAGACATAATAATAGAGTGTTTTAAATCATGTTTATCACTGTAAAATTTTCAACCAATTTATAATTAAATCAGAAACTGTTTATTTATTAATTTTGCAGAGTTATACTTATTTATTTATAGCACTTTATGATTTTTTTATTTGTATTTTGATCAATGTGTATCCTAATCATCAACAGTTTACATAAAGGATGATGAAAAACAAATCATTTTCAATGATCTATGAAAAAGTTTACAGTCGAAGGTTTTATCATTTTTTTTTTCAAATGGAACACATAAAGGTGCAAACTCATTCTCTAATAGAGTTGTGCCCACTGGATCATCCTAGCAATAAACTTCTACAAAAGATCAAAACCTCAAAAGTATAAATGGTGTTATTATTGTTTCTTTCATAAAAGGATAAAATCATTTAAAAAAACATACGATAATTATTTTAATGTTTACAAAAATCAAAAAAGGTAATTTTGTACATGTTAGCATGGAGAAAGATAACAACGATCAATTTTTTAACTCACTTTTCTGTTCTTAATGTTGATATAACATTGAGCATTATTTCCTTTGGTTGAATTTGTTAAGAAATCAATTTTTTATTTGAAGTTACAGGACCAGTAACAGACATGTTGTTATTAGAGTTTTCAAATTTTTACTGCTACATTGTATTTTCTTCAAACTTAAAAAACACTTAAATAAACTCATAAAGATGTCTTCATATTTTCAAATATCTTTAGGCAGTCTCATTAAGAGTTGAATAAATACAGATTATATTTATCCAAATGAATTCAAAACATCTAAACAAGACAAACATTTTTACCTTTTGGCTTGCCAGTTGTTCCAGAAGAATAAGCAATATAAGCCAAATTATCCCAATTCATTGGAAAGGATACAACTTTGTCATTACCGTTTTTAAATTGCTCCAAAAAATTTTCATCAAGACAAATTACACAAAAGTCAGCTGAAAAGGAAAAATTCAATGGTAATTTTAATATTAGAACAATTTATAATACATACTCTTATAATGTATATATAATACATAGTTTTATTTCTTTAGTTTCATTTTTTTCTCTAGAGATAGCTTAAAGAATATTCTCTTTGTTTATTATTTTCATGAAAAATAAAGAATAAACACAATCAAATAAACAAAAACTAAATAAACTGGGTCTAATCAGTCAAAAGAAAAATCTACCTTAACTCAACAAAACCTGGAGATACACCATTTATCAACCTTAACAGGAACCAGTCACACACATACACACACATATTTTGTTATTGGCACCCGCTTGCATCCAAGCATTGTGAACATCATCCTCTCTCCCTATTCTGTTTCTCTCCCCTGGCGGCAGTGGCAGAGATGGCTGTGAATCAAAAAGAATTTGAGTAGCCCACATACTTGGCCAGAAGCACTTCCCTCACAGCGCAAAGAGGATTGAGACAACCAAAATCTGGCAAACCTGGTTGCATCGTGCTGTCAGATGCTCTATCTTGGTTACACCAGCCCGACTGGGCATATATATATATACACACACACAATTAATTATTCTGACATTATTTTAGTGGATACATGTGTTATAACAGACAAAAAGATTATTGCTGCCATATCTGGGCTGGAGCTACCCAGTTCTCATTTGCCTGTCCAAAAGGGTTCAAAAGGGTCTATGTGGCGTTGTAGGTGATGAATTATTTTCCACCCTACAAACCCTTTTTCACAGCCAAAACATTGCTAGACTCTCACTACTCTATCACTATTTCCATGTGTCCTGACAAGCTACATTCCTTGGTTCCACCAATCTTGACCTTTACAGCTGGGACCCACCACACCATGTACACAAGGATTAATCATTCTCATTCTCTTTTATATACTATTTGAAAAAGTTTTATTCCACTCAGACAGCTTCTTCCCAAGAACTGCTACTTTGTGGAACAGACTCCCAACAGGATGTTTTCCCAATCCCTACAATCTTACCCTCTTCAAGTCTATGATTAACTGTTATCTTTGCTCCATAACATGAACTGCACTTCTTACCTTGTCTTATGCTCATACAACACTACACAGTTACAATCTACCTTTAGTGGCTCTTGGGCTTATATTGGGCTAACATTAGTATATAAAAAACATACATCCCTGTTTTTTTAAGCAGTGGTGTAACAGCCTAGATTGCAAAAGGTTTTATTAAAGAAAATGGCCCTATTGCAGATTATTAAGCTGGATAGCCTTTATCTGGGACACTACATTTAAGCCAGGCTATAGAGGTGTGGCTTTTTAAAGATAGCAAACTAATCCCACCATTATTCTTAAACCTGAAGCCATCACCTTTGAAATATACATCTATCTTTGGAACTTTTCAGCTAAAAGTTGCTTTCACAGATCAAAGGAATGCAGGTGGGAACCTTACCAAGAGGTACATTTTCTTTAATATTAAAGAAAATGTGATCTGGACCGGTAGAAGTTATTTTCATTGTTTAAGATGAACAAACAAAGGCAGTACTTTTCATAGATATGGAAAAGATACAACAGTAGAGGAAAATGCAAAAAATGAATGTAAGAAGTATTGTAGCCTAGAATGATGCCATTCCCATACCTGAGAATTGTTTCTAAGAAGGAAGAAATAATTGTGCTATTATATAAAGCTAGAAATACCTATGAAAATTTCAATCTGTATCTGTAGAAAATTGCCATATCGCATTGTTAAATATGTGAGCTTAACAACTTTAACAAAATATTGCAAAAACAATCATAAATATGAATGCTGGTAATTATTTAATGAAGTAAGGGACTACAGATGAAAAGATTTGAAAATGACAACTTTTCCATTTCACTAAATCAGACTTTAAATTCTTTTATTCATTTTCTCATGGAAACTAAGTAGTATCTCTGATATACCTTTTCTGGAATAGTCCATTATTTATGAGGTATCAGCAGGAGATGTTAAACACTTCTATCTTTTTTCTTTCTTTTTCGCACCAAATCCAAGTAGGGTCTCTGATATGTCTTTTCCATCTTTCTACGCTATCAAAATGGAATAGTCCATTATTTATGAGGTATTAGCAGGATACAGCAATTGTGTTTACTAAGGGAGGAACAAACAGAATAAGATATTTCCCTGCATGGCATGAATTTTCTTTAATGCTGCTTTTACGCAACAATATTTATTTTTTTCAACATAATCTCCTTCCATTTCAATACACTTAATTCAATGGTAAATATTAATCAGATATATCAGAGATTACACAGTGAAAGGTTCAGATAAAAATTCATATAACTATGATTTAGACTGCAGTCTTTTTGATCTACACTCATATACAATAACACACAAATCAACTTAAAATATGAATTGACTTTTTTCTATTTGTATTGATGTTTGTGATAAATTTATATGTGTTTAAGTAAGTACAAGCAATATTTATTAGTCTGTATTATTGTTACTTCAAACATTATTTTTAGTGGATACCCATATTTAAAATAGATACCTCATTTTTTTTTTTTAATTTTTAAACAGTGTATTCTGTCTATTGGCCTGCGTACTCAAGAAAGCTTAATAAAGAAAATGTGCTCTCTGTCTGTGTTTGAACCTGTGTCCTCCTCTGTAGGAGAAACCATTGTTCAATCTGGCATGTTTTAGACTGCTCAGCCGTGAAGAGTGTCACATCCTAGCAAGGTTCTTTTGAAGAAAGCACACCACCTCATTCAGGTATTCTCAAAAGCCCATATCTGCTCAGTTCTGCATCCAAAATATAAACAAAGCAATTTCTAAAAAATGGGTTTATTTTTAATCCAACATTTTTATGCCTTCAAATATTATTTTTATAAGGGACACGTTTGAAATAGACACCCAGATTTTTTATATGCATGAGCAATACAGAGCATGCATACATAGATATTATACTATTATAATTTTATCATTGTATGTTTGTTCAAGCAAAATTGTTCTTTTTCTATATTACAACAAATCTTTCTAAAATCTATAAAATATATATTCTTACTGAGGTAGTCTTTGCATAGGTATTTTGGTAATTACATAATTAACTGAAGATGATTCTGAAAGAGTTTTCTCAAGCCTAACACAAAAACTAATGTACATATTTTTACTATAAATTCACAAGAGTAAATTTTCATTGTAATTTTTACATTAACTAGCCAATTTTTAAAAAAGAACATTAATGTGTCTTCAAGATGTAGGGAAATATGGTTATTTCTTTTCTTTATTACCTGAAAATTACCATGACTACATATTTAGCTACCCCATGGCATGCACAAAGCAAGTTCTCATTACATATAAGAAAAGCATGACATATATTGTGCTTTACAAGAAAAAATAAAATATATATATATATATATATATATATATATATATATATATAAATAAAAGGAAGAGGTTATGGTAGAAAAAAAAAATTGTTTTATATCAAAAGAAGATAGAAACCAAAAAACGTTTTTTCTTGTAATGTGGATTTTTTTTTAAAATATTATGGTTTATTTTCCATTATGGAAAATAAAGCATAATATTTTTTTAAAAATCCACATTACAACCAAAAACGTTTGCAGTTTCTATCTTCTTTTATAAATGTATATATATATATATATATATATACACACAGTATGCATATATATATATATACATATATATGCATGTGAGTATGTGTGTGAATCAACAATTTATTTCATTGATTAACATATATATATAAGTATTATTTTTTTATTTTATATAAATAATTTTTTTTATTTTTTAAATATTTTTTCAGAATCTCATGTCATTAATTTGATTTTTCAATTTGATTTTTAAAGAAGTTACTGTTTATATTTAATTTAGAACTACAATAAATAGCTGAACTGTTTGGAAAATTAAGGATTTTTTCCTGAAACACTTAGATAATGTGATATATTTGTTTATATATAACAGAACAACATTTTAAAAAGAATGAATTTTGTCACATATCTTCAAACCATGCTTTTACCAGACTTTTACAGCTTTAAGTTCTAAAACTTTCATTGAATAAGAAATATAACTTTAAATTTATGCATAGCTATAATTATGTAATGAAAATATTCCATGAACTTCAGAGGAATAAACATTGCAATCAATCATAAAATTTCATTACCTGGAAACTGGTCCCTCAGTTCACTGGTTGTTAAAATTACTTTGGGAGTTGCCTCTACCAAAATGTTGTCAACGAGCCTTTGGGGAAAAGAAATATCAAGAGGAAGATAAGCACCACCTGAAAATTAAAAATATTTCAATTAAATAAACACAGACAATACATAGTGAAGGAAATATACACAGAGGGTAACACTGAGTAACCTACTTAATACACTTGGATGAATCAATGATGAAACAAAGATAAAGAGAAATTATAAAAGGTTAAAATATACTTAGGTGGAAAAACATGAAGTTATAGAGTGCTATGATTGCCTAGATCCTGGAAAAGTCTTGGCATATAAAAAGAGAAGAAACTCTTCTCCTGTGTGATGTATCCCATCAGGATATGAATAATGATGTCTCTCCATTGTAGATCTTAGCAATGTTTGTCTTTTTACTATCTCTCCTAATCCCTGTACTGCCAACCATTGATGCAAACTCATTAAATAGGTTATGTACAGCTTTCCTCTGTCCATCTTGCCTTCAATATGTCTTCTCAGTGTCAAATTTTCCCAGCCCTCATTCTTCACTAGGTGGCCCAAAATTTCAACTTTCTCTTTTCTCATTTCCATTTTCTCTAAAACTTTGTCATTATTCACATGTTCAGTCCATAATATTCTCAGCATATTCTATAGCATTTATGTCTGTAATCTCCTCTATGCCGAAATCATATAAGATTCCCAGAATCTCTATTACAATTCCATCTGGTCCTGCTGCTTTGTTATTGTTAAATTTGGCTAGTGTTGATTTCATGTCAGATTTTAATACTTTTGATCATCTGATATTTCTGTGTATTGTGGGTTGTCCTCTTTCATGGTGGTAGAGTTCTTTGATGTATTCATTCCATCTCTGAAGTATTTTTTCTTTCTCTAATATCAGTGTCCCGTCATTGGATTTTATGCATCCTTTTAATGAGCATGTATTCTGTTAGTTCTCTTTTCTTTATGCAAATCTGCTTTATCCTTAATACACATTCTTTCTATTTCTTCACACTTTTCATTGAGTCATTCCTCTTTTGCCTGCTTGTATTTGTTACAAATTTCTTTATGCAGTGTCCTATATTTTGTGCCATACCTTGGCATTGTTTTTTTGTCTCCCTTTCATCATGTCAAGAATTCCATCTGTCATCCACTCCTTGTCTCTTTTTTTTGTATGATCTTATTTGCTGATGTTACTTAAGTTTCTCTTAATGTGTCCCACTTCGAATTTGCATTCACATTTAGTTCCATATATTTCTCCTTTACATTTGGGTCATTCCAGAGTCTGTTATATTGCAATTTGGATGTTGCCTTATTCCTCTTCAATTTCTGTAGTTTCACTCTAAGTTTACATGTCAATGGAAAATGGTTGTTCCATACCTGGCACTTGGGTATGTTTTCCAGTGTAAAACTGTATTCTTGAATCTCTTATTGTTCGCTGTAGTACGTTTGGTTCTTAATTTCTCCTCCTGGGCTTCTCCATGTTCATATATATCCAAGGTATTGAAACCAGCTGATCATTAACTGGAGGGAGTGCAGTTTAGTCCCCAACTAGTTGAAAATAGATTTTATATATATATATATATATATATATATATAAATATATATAAATATATATATATATATATTGTGTGTATTTTGGCAGCATTTTTTCATTGATGCATGTTTCATTAAATAATATAGACAAGTGTTGTCTATTTATTTTATGAAAATTCTTTTCATATCATCTGATAAGCTTAATAACATTATCATTAAACAAAGAAAGAAAATCACAATATTGATACATATTTTTTAATCCTATCTAAGCTTTTGGCTTACATAAGCCATTATCAAAGATGACAATTACATTACAATATATTAAGCAATACACGGACAAAACAATGATGATAGTTTGTTTCAGTTTACATGGAAGATTTCCAAGCAACTACAAACTCATGCATACAAGACGCTTGAAGCGAAAATCACACTGGAGCTCATGATGTCACACATGGCCACACGAGAGTAAATTCAAGAAGTATTAAGTATAGGAAGCTGTTGATATAAACCAATGGCTTCTGTTACCAATTATAGGCATTTAAGAATATTTGTGGAGATTTCATAGCTTATTTTGTTCAGGTTAGGTTTCAACTGTTTTATGTATATAGCTTCAAGAATTTTTAGTTTTTGTTTATTGTTTTCATGTTTAAGTATAGTTGTGTTTTCAACAAGGACTTTCCGGAATTGTATATGTGGCCAGGCATGTTGTTTTAAATGCCTAAAATTGAGTTATCATTCAAATGTAGTGTCAAACGTCATGAAAATGAGTTTGTGATATGACCAACATAAATATTATTTAATTCATTGGAGATACAATCTCCCCAAAGGGCACTTGAATTTATAAACTATGTTGGTTTTTTTTTTTTTCGCTAACCAGGGGAGAAGAATCATTGCAAATAATTGAACTTGGATATACTAGATTTAGTGTAGTATATGATTAATTTAATTTTTTTTTGCTAGGATCTGTTGTTGATATATTAGTTTATTTTTTTTTATTTTTTCATCTTGTTTATAATTAGTATTTTGATTACGATATAGGAGATTAATATATTTGAGATTAGTAGAAGCAGTATTATGTACTATTTGCTTAGTATTGAGATTTCTAAGAAAGCATCTTATTTGTTCATCAACTATATAGTTTGGAAAGCTATTATTAATAAATGTTTGTTTTATATTCTTTAGTTCACTGTAAAAAAAATCTGTTTTGTAGATTAACTAGTTTTTGCACGATGTATTAGATTCTTTATAATTGCTATTTTGTAGTAATATGGATATTCGCTCTTGTAGTTAATTTATGCTTGTCGGTTTTTTGGATGGCGAAATAGTAAATTTGTTATTATTTGTGTTTATCAATATGTCAAGGAAGGGAATGTTATTATTAGTATTGAGTTCATACGTGAATTTAAGGACAGAATTATTTTGGAAACGTTTTTGAAGTTGAAGTATTTCATCTGTATTTTTAACTAACATAAGAATATCATCAACGTATCTTAGGTAGATTGATGGTTTTTTTAAATCTGTAAATATCTTATTTTCGAGGTTCGACATGTAGAAATTGCTAAATGTCGAACCCAGTACTGAACCATTGTATTGTATATATATATATTAGTATTATGATCTAAGAAAGGGACTTCAGTAGTACAAGTTAATAGTAATAGTTTTAATATATTAGGATTAATTTTAAGTGGGGGTAAAATGAGTTACTGTATATATTTCTTATAATTATGTCAATAGTTTCACTAACAGGAACATTGTTAATAAGTTTTCAACATCAAGTGAAGCTGTGATTTCATTGTTGGTTTTTTTTACTTTTTAGGATTTGGATTACTTCTAATGTTGACTTAACACTATATTTACTAGGAAGGTAGGGAGTAATGAGTTGGTTAATGTATTTTGTTAGATGATATACAGGAGTTGGAATTTGCGATATGATAGGACGAGAGGATAGTTAGGTTTATGTGTTTTTATAGTGCCGTATATGTAACCAGGTCTATAATCACCAACAATTTTAGGGAAATTTAAAGAATTCTGTTCAGCATTATTAGCATTAATGAGTTTATTAAGCTTTGATTTTAGTTGGTTGGTTGGGTTCTTGTTTTTTTTAAACTTTTATGTGATCATGGAGTATGTGGTCAAGATTTTGTTTAATCCAATTTGTTTAGGATGACAAAATGTTGGTCTTATTCAATTTTTTTTTCACAATAATGTCATTCCAAGTGGTTGATAGTTTTGTGGGCTGCAATTTTCAGTTGTTTAGAAAAAATTTTTTTTAGGAGTTTCTTTTTTATTGATGCATGTTTTAATAAATCGGCCTTAAGTAAGTCTTTAAATTCTATTTTAGTTTCTATTAGTTGTTCATCCTGGAGTTTAACATTGTTTTGGTATAGGGTCTCAAAATCATTTTTTAAAAGTTTTTTTGTACTTACGGTATATATGGCAGTTAGGTCCAAGGTTAAGTAATTCTTTTTTCCCCCAGTTAGTTAGTTCATAAAAACAACAAAGTTTTAATGATATTTATCAGTTTTTTTAGAATTTTAAAATATTTGTTGGTAATTGTATAATGTATTCAGTTTTTTTATAATTTTCACAATTCGGTGTGACACTTCAAATTTTTGAATGATAATTTAAATATTTTTAAAGATTTAAAAAAAAATTCCATTTATTGGTCCAGTAAATCCTTGTTTAAAATACAACTATATTTTGAAAATTGAAAAAAAAATAAACAAAAAAATAAAAATTCTTGAATACACAAAAAAGTGCAAACCTAACCTAGAACAAAATAAATTGTTTGTCCAAGTATTGATATTTGTTAAATGCCTATAATTGGTAACAGAAAAATTGGTTTATATTTCATTCAAGCTTCCTATAATTAAATATTTATTGAATTCATTTTAAAAAAAGTTCACATCAAATTGTCTCGATTTAAAACTTTTAAAGAATCTCCAAAATTTCTTGTAACATTTTCTGATTTGTTTGATAACATTTCCATCATTAAACGAAAAAAGAAATCATCATTGTTTTGTCCAAATTTTTTTAAAATAAATTGACAACAATTGTCATTTTTTAATGAATACGGCTTAAATGTATAAAGTATAATATATATATATATAAATATTTATATATAAGCCATATTGTAATATTTTAATTTTTACTTTTTTTATTCTGTTTAATGATAATGTTTAACAATAATTTTTTAATCAAACGATGAAAAATATTTAGAAGAAATAAATTGTTAATTCATTGACAAATATAACTATATTTTTTATTAAAGAAAATGCATCAATATATATTTAAGTATGTTTAATGTAAATAATGTATGTATAAAATTAAGAAATAAATATTCTATATTTTATTTTAAACCATTCAGTGTCTTCAATTGATTCCATATAAATTGATTATATATAATGATCTAAATTTAAAAAATTTTAAGAAATTTGAAAAAAAAAAATTATTTAAAATAATAAATAAGCACACAAGAAAAGGTGTGTTTAGGAAGGTCAGGAGGAAGAAAAAAGTATCAAGAATGATTGTCTCATTTTCAAATGTAAAAGTGACAGGTTAAATG